CCCGCTTTTGCAGGAAAAAAAAATTATTTAGACCAACGCCGGACCCCCGCTGCGTTTCTTTCTGTTAAATCATGTTTTGGAACAAGGCTGGCAATTGCTTGCTGCCGGATTGGTTCGTGAGTTTGCGGTTGTGGCCAGGTCAATTGCCGGATCGTTACGTGTGCATGGCATATAAGCGGACATGGATCGTGTAACGATGTTGATTTGCTGTCCAGACTAACATCAATCAACAATAATTTCCATGCTGCTGCCATGGGCGCGGGCAATGTTTCCAGCCTAAAGCAGACGTGCGGCACTCGGAAAATCGAAAACAACGAGAGGCTTGTCGCTGTGGGATCATGGTTTGCGGAGGTGGAAGTGACACTCCCAGTTGAGAGGCACGTGGTCGTGGTGTAAGGAGTGTGTCATGGCCATAGTGCAGGTCTTTGCGAGGCTGTCAATATCTAGAAGCTGCAGATAACACATGTCGTCACTATGCCGTTTTGGGTTTAATCAGTGTTGAAGCATTGATGTCACGATTGGCGTGCAGATGTCCAACCCGGAGCAACCAGGCAGAGCAGTGCCCGACGCTCAAAGGCGCAAGGTGCTCCAAGCCAAGGCGCGGTGTTGTGTCGACACATCAGCAGCAACATCGTTGCCGTCCATTCGTGTGATGATTCTCATGTGCTTTGCCTGAGATGGAGCGGCGACTTAACCGAGCCCGAATGGAGATAAATGCCTTGGCGGAGGATCCCCGCGATTGTGCGTTTCCGTTGCGGTCGCATCGAGTGGTGTTTGCAGGACATCGACAAGCGCATAATGCTGCAGCCCCCAAGGCTTTTAATTTATTGCGTATCATTGCCACATATTCATTCGCGCCTTCCGCCTACCATGAATATAGCGTGTGCTGAAGGGACATGCCAACGGGCAGCCTCGTGGATGATGCGAGGCCGTGGTGGTGCACGTTTAGCTTACGGCTTACGCCTAAAGTGCCGTATTTCATACAGCATTCACACAGTAGTCAGCATCGGCATACAGATTTTCATGATTTTTTTCTTGCACGCTGAAGCTTCTGGTTGACAGTGTGATCCAATGCAAGGAAGCTCTGGAATATTTTTTGGACCGTAGGCTTCTGCGTAATTTATGTGGCCAGGTGCTGCATCAACAAGGCCTGTCGTCGGTGATCTTGCGATTCGGATCAGACATTCCCAAGAGCCCGAAGCCTTGATTCGAGCAGGACAAAGACACCTGCCTTCACGACATTGAGACCAGCCTGGCGATGTTGAAATCTCGGGTGGACGTTGCCCTACAGGCATGTCCTGCCCTTCATTCATTAGGTCATTACGCAACCCCAACCCTGGCTAGCATACATTCTGAGTTGCAGAGGCTTCCAATCCAGATGGCAATAGCACGGAGGCCTGCCGCCAGCAAAAAGCTTTCCCGCGTTCTGTGCCCAAGTAGCATGCGTTTTTTTTGCCGGTCGTCGAGAGTTTTTAAGTTAAAGCTCATTCATCATCCGCACAAGCCGGTTTTGAAAAGATGCCATGTGTCGGTGTCGGCTCTGGCTCTGCTCCGTCCTGCCCGCACCAATAGCCTCCTGCTGAGCATGACAGCTGGCTCCGCCCCCTTCCTGGTGTATGAATTAAAATCAGAGAAGCTAACGCGTGGTAGCTCCGATTTCACAATAATCCTTCGACATGCTGGGGTTCTGTCGCTGGAAGGCCCCAAGCATGCTGTGGGCGTCCATTCAGGAGGCGGGTAAAACGGTAAGCTTCAATCTAAGAACCTTCAAGCCCTAAATCCCTACAGGTTCGAACCCATGAGTCTGATCGGTATGCAGGTGCCAGTCATCATGGCACAACCCTTCTTCGACGGCTTTAAGGAGGCACCCGGCACCGGGCCCGGCACCGGGCCAGCACGGCTGAGATCCTTGGCCGTTGCCTTCATCGGAGATGTGGCCTTGCCGCAAGGCCACGGTGGTAAAGGTGGAAGACGAAGTCGTGTGCACAGCGAGAAGCCAGGCCATTCGGTCTCACAGCATCCCAATTACCTAATGACCTAATTGCTGCGCGTCTTCGGTTTTAGGAGTTTGAGCAGCTTACCAGCTGGGTCCGGCGGGAACAGAGCCAGGCCAGGATCAGCACGGCAAAAATTATCCCAGGCATCAGACTCGCAGCTAGGTGCACGAGAAGCTGGATGTCAAGTTCCAGAAGCTTCACTCCTTGTTGGAGGGTTTGAAGACCTCGCGGCAGGCTGTCCCCGAGATTCCTGGCCTGGCATGTTCAAGTCTTTCTCGGTCTGGCTGTGTGTATATTGTTGCCGTGTGGACTCGTTCCCGGGTGGTCTGTGTGATTTTGCATGCAGTCCAGAGCCGCAAAATTGCGAGCCATCGATGAGCCGTTGTTTTTTTATTGCTCAGAGACATGTCGGTTTCTGTAGGGTCCGGCAGCGGCAGAAGTGGCGGCTCCAGCGACGGAGCCGAGAGTGGCATGGGAAGTGCTGGTATGCTTCGGAACTGTGGGCAATTTCGCTACGGGGTGCTTGTTTCGGACAGCGGATTTCATCGGTTCGGCCCGGTGGCCTTTTATGGATTGAGGCCTGTTCGTGGTATCGGCTGTGCCATATGCGGTCAACGGATGTTCTTCACGTGCAGTTTTCTGCCCTGCACCCTTATAATCTCGGCTTCGAGCTCTGCAAGCTTCCAGTGACTTACCGCCAGGAGCCCTTTGCCAGTGCCTCCGCCCCCTCTCTCTCCGGGTCGCCTGGGAAGGCCTTGCGCAACTCTCGGCCCAAGCAGGACAGGGGAGACTTCGCCAATTTGGATCAGCTTTGTTTTGGGAGCTCCCATGCCGGGATATGGCAGTGGTTGGTTGCTTAGTCATTGCCGGCAGTACCCGGCGACGAGAAGTTTGGCTGCATGTTCGTGAAAGGTTACAAACAATTGCGTCATGTGGCAACACCATCAGAAGGACCGTGAACAGGGAGCCTATTCCAGTCGTCTCTGTTCAGATCACCTGGCGAGGACTAGTGCGTCATTTCCGAACCATTCTGTTGATGGGTTCTCATCAAACACTGCTTAAGCTTCTGTCGAACCGTTTAAGTAGATAGAAACCTTTATTTTACTTCCCAGAGCCGAGACAATAAGTCTTCAGGACCACCCGAGCGTCAGACACATGCTGGAGGACTCTCCAATGTGGGGTTCGATTCCTTGCGGAAATCAACTGGCCCTCAAATGTTAGGGTCCGTATCATCAAGATCCGAACGTAAGGAACAGAAAAAAACCCTGCATGAGAGCTTCTCGGACCTCGTAACCCGCCAAATTTCTAAGATTCCAGCTCCCACCGAAACCTAGCATTTTTTTCTCGTTTCACGGGAGCTTTGGAGGAGTTCCGAACGTCCCAACTCTGCATGGTCGAGGAGCGCTTTGTCTTCGGAGCTTTCATCAGCGGCTTCGGGCTCGGGGCTCACCGGTTTTGTAAATGTTGGAATGCAAGGAGGGGCGATAAGGTTACGGGTTGAGCTAGGGTCCTGAGAGCAGGTTGTTCAGTGTACTTGCGACAGTTATTGGGGTTGCACAGCCCGGAAAGCCTGGATTTGCCGAAGCCTACAACGCAACCAGCACGGAGCAACGTGTTTCGGGTGGCTTAGAGTCATCAGTTTGCAGTAGTACTACTATTCAAAAGCAAACAGGTGCAGACAGGAATTACAGGAAACACGCATGCATGTAGATGAGCGTGTCGACAAGCAGACACATGACATGGATCTGCACAAGTGCAAACGCCGATGCTTATGTATGGATCTATGTATGTATGTATGTATGTATGTATGTATGTATGTACGGTAGGTAGGTAGGTAGGTGGGTGGGTGGGTGGGTGGGTGGGTGGGTAGGTAGGTAGGTAGGTACGTAGGTAGGTAGTTAGGTAGGTAGGTACGCATGTATGTACGTCTGCATAGCTTTCCATGCACCCATAAGTGGATGGGTGGATGGATGGAGGTCTGGCTGTCTGTCTGCCTGCCTGTCTGCCTGTCTGTCTGTGGTATGTATGTGTGTAAGTACGTATGTATGTACTTATGTACGTACTCAAGCATGAATGCATGTGCAGATGTTTCTGCATGTGCTCGAAGATCAACAAGCTTGAGCGTGCTGCAAGGCCATTGGCGAGGTCCTGGTTTTGGGGTTTGTATATTCCAAGTCACCATTTCGGGTTCAGGGTTCAGTTGACGGTTCCCGAGCCCTTAAGCCGAAAACGCTTGATCAGCGCTTGATTTCCAACACCTGCCAAGTCTGCACAGAGACACACGGAAATTGGCCTGACAAACCCCGAAATGTTGGCGACGGTTGACGCCTGCGAGAAACCTCCCGAAGTCTTCCCCCAACCGCCTTGCTAAAAGGAGCAGCAAACCACCAAGAGCATGATCGAGGACGCCGGGCTTCTCGAGAATTTCTCGGCCTGAGGGGTTGAGGATTCAAGGTTTTTTTTTTTTTTTGGTCTCCGGCTGGGGTTTCGAACCCCCTTTGGCACGGCCTCGCTTTTTTTTGTGTATTTCGATACATCCCTTGGTCTTGGGGGCCAGTTTTGTAAAAGAAAGCATCTGAAAGCCTGGAGGACTTCCGACAGTTGCTCCTCAGCCAAGTGGAGGACCGAAGCTTTAGGTGAAAAGTTCCTGCAACTTATATGCGGCGATGTGTAGGGAGGACGTCTGCGCTGCCTGGGGCTTGGGCTTGCACGCACCCAACTCGATTTCCTGCAGTCAGACCAACGTCTACACTTTAAATCCCCAAGCAACACGAAATCCTGCATGCCGAAAGAACACCCTCCAGAACGGCGGATTGCGCCGTCTCCAGCATTCATCGCAACTGCCGGGAGAAGCCGCGCTTTGCAATGACGGGCGCATGCGGCACAATCGGCATGGAAGGTCGCCGAGCTTAGCAAGTCTGCAAGACCTGACGACATCGTGTCATTGCCGAGTACGGCGTTCATGAAGCCTCGCAGAGCAAGTCGCTTCAAAGTTCGTGTCCTGCCGCCCCGAAGTGGGGCGCCGCCACCCCTTTTGAACAAACCCTGCATCCACACCTGGAAGGAACATGCAAGAAGTCCTCCACCATTTCGAGGTTACAATTACAAGACTTCAATCAACACGAGACAGCGGAGTTGCAGTGTATGCTTCCAGGGGGCACGGGGCGAGGTACAAACTATCTTGCATCTCTTCTAGACGTCTTGTGCGCAGAGTCGGTGGTCTTGCTGACAGGAGCTGGCGAAGGAGCAGAAGAGCTGCAGAAGCATGCTTGAGGCAGGGCAACGTCGCGCCGATCGAGTATTTCGTGATCAGTCTTCTCTCGCCAGGAGCTGCGAGTGTCGCAGAGAGGCTTTGCAGAGGACCTGTGAGAGGGCAGGGATCTGTTGCCCGGATCTGGAGTTCAGGTTGGAGTCTTGGAAATCTCGAGTGCTTCTTGAAGACTGTCAGCAGGACCAGATCGTCAGCGTCGTCAGGGAGGACTCGCTTGCTGATGGCTTTCCCAATTGCTGGTGCCAAGCACTCCAGATGATTACGAGGAGTTCGAGCAGCTCTGTCGAACCAACAGCACGAGTCTGGAGGACAGGCCGTGCAAAGCTTTCTCCTGCTGTGCATGTCATTGAAGCCGCTTCTTCAAACCTTCATGCTCTGGCTAGACCGGAAGATGTTGCTTCCAGACTTGTTCCAGACTTTTGTTTGGCCCAATGTCCAAACGTGCGAGGTTTCGTCGCCATGTTGTTGGACGATCAGCAAGGAAGATTTGTTTTGAACCGTTCATTCCTTCTTGGCTTTCTCACTTGCATGGCAGCCTGCATGTCGATTTCCATCGCAGTACGAACGTGCTGTTTCCTAATCTCGTGACTGGGTGGTTTTCGCGGCGATTGAGCGTGCAAAGCTCGTTGCCCTGGCAGAGAGGAGTTTCAACAGCAGCAGCAGAGCTTCAGACACGACCTGCAGCATCCGACTTTGGGTTTCTCGTGGCTTTGAAGGTATATTTCTGAAGGAGTGT